CCTGTTTGTGAGATGCAGCAGTAGTGTTTAAGTTGGATATGGCTTGTGTTGATTTGAAGAAGCCATTTTCACTGATAAAATAATAATTTGGGGAAGTTCTTAGGCATCAATGCTTCTCTATTATTCAAAGATACAGATAGGTACTATGGAAAAAACAGATGTTAGAGCAGTAGCATAGTGATATATCTACATTCATGCTTGAGTCAGGTGTAAAGACTGTATTACTACATTAAAGTCATCTACCACCTGCAGTGTTTTGGTAATTGTGATGGTGTGCCTTCAAGTAATTACCAACATATAGCAGCAGTTAACTGAGCATATTACATGGTTTTCTTGGCAGATTTGTTCAGAGTAGGTTTGCCATGGCCTTCCTCTGAGGTTGAAAAAGTGTAGCTTGGCCAAGGTCACCCATTAGCTTTCAGTACCTGGATAGGCATTCAAACCTTGGCTTCCCCAAGTTCTAGTTCAACACTCAGAACATTACATAATGCTCATTATATCCTATAGACCAGACGTGGGAAAACTTTGCCCCTTCAGGTGTTTGGACATCAACTCCCACAATTGTAGAAGTTGAAGTCCAAAACGGGTGAAGTTTGCCCATGCCTCGTCTATAGACCAATGTAGGTTGGGTCCATATTGTCTGAAAGACCATATTTCCTAATACAAACCTGCCAAAGATTGAAGATCCCAGTTCCACTCCCATTAAAGTCTTGCTGAGGACACAAAGGGAACCTTCTCAGTGGCTGGTCCCATCTTCTGGAATACTCTCCCATTGCAAGCTAGACTGGTTTTCTTCTTGCTGTTCAAGCAGGCTCTTAACATGTAAACAACTTTTTATAGGGATATTTTAGTCCCCTTTTAAAATTCTGGGTTTTTTGTTGTGTTTTTTTTTTACATCTTGCACTAATTTACATGGTTTTAATTGTTTTTAGTTTTATTGTGAATAATGATTCAGTCACAACTATGGTTTATACCATGTTATGATTTCTAGAATCAGAGCTGCAAAAGACCACAAGGACATCCAGTTTAACCCCCTGCCACGCAGAAATGCACAATCAAAGCACTCGCAACAAACAGCATCTAGCTTCTGCTTGAAACCTCCAGAGAAGAAGAGTTCACTGCTTTCCTAGGCAGTGGACTGATGTTTAGGTGACATTTTCTTATAACTTGAATCCGTTGCTCCATGTCTTTATCTTTGAAGCAGTCAAAAACAAGCCTGCTTCATCTTCAATGTGACATTCTTTCAAATATTTATACATGGCTATCATGTCATTTGTTAATCTTCTCTTCTCCAGACTAAACATAACCAGCTCCCTAGGCCACTCCCCAAAGGACTTGGCTTCCAGACTCTTGACCATTTTGGTTGTCCTTCTCTGGACATGTTCCAGCTTCTCACTATCTTTCCTGAACTGAAATGATTATAACTGCATTCAGGTGAGATCTGGCCAAAGCAGAATAATTTTAGCAGCAAAGTCCAAGCTCACACTATATCCTCTGAATTTGTAGTAGCCGTCATTTCTGCCTGAAGTGGAGGCCCCTTTTCAGCTGTGTTCCTGGCAAAGAAAGGGCACTGAAGGTGCTGCTTAATTATCTCAAAGTAGAAAAACAGTATTCTGCTGTGGGGTCAGATGGATTGATGATATGACAAGGACAAAGCCACTGAGATTCAAATAATATTTCTAGTTCACCTCCAGCTTGAACAGACATGCATGCATATTGGCCAGTATAATAATCTAAGCATGTTAGTCTTCATTAGTTTTTATTGCTCTTAGGGATAATCAGAAAGATGATTCAGGCATGGCTCAGTGTGCCCACTCCATACCTCGTCTAAAAGGTCCCAGCTTTGTTAATTCTGATAGAACCAGTCCAAGTATAGGGCAGAAGGAAAGATTTCTGGCCAGAAACCCTACAAAGGCATTGGTAGTTAATCATGGTGATTTAAAAGACGTGGTATAAGACAGCTTCCCCCGCTTTTTCCTAATCTTTTCTGCTGCAAATTCTATCTGATTAGAAATAAAAAGGTAATTGTGTTCGAATGGTTTCTGTTTGCTTTTCTATCCAGTGTATGAAGACTCTTAAGAGCACTTATCTGAAAAGTAATTGTCCAGAAGAAAGGCTGGTACTTGACTGAGCACAGCAATTTTCTCTTTTTGATGGAAGACAAATGCCCATGCTTTTTGGAAGTCATAAATATTCATGGTCTAAGAAAAAACAGGGCAGCCATTGAACAGCATAAAGTATTAGAAAGAGCTGGTCAGGGTAGTCATCTCAATGAAATAACACTGGATGGTGATAGTCCTTGTGGCCACTAGGAAGCCCACATTTAAGTACACAGCAAGTGTGTGTGGTGCTCAATCTCTAATGTCAGATTACCTAAACAGGCAGTGTTCTTGCTCAGCATTTGTTGCCGTGGTTGTTGTTTAGGTCATTGGTGGCCATTGATTAATTTTGAGACAAACGTAAGATGTCCAGAGGTGTGCTGATCTCATCACTATAGCTGGGGAAATGTGTGAGTGCCATATTTCTAACACAACCCCCCACCCCCATGAAAAAACACCCCATTTTGAGTCTTGCAGTCTTGTCAAGTTCATTTAAAATATTTATAGCCCATTCAATTTGCAAATTCCCTTGGAAGTAGCTAAAAGAAAAACCATCAGTGCCATCTCACATTTTATATCTCACAGTTGTGTGAAAACCTAGTATAACCATTCAGTGATTAATTATTGTACCAGGGTTTAATGGTCACCCTGCCTGAATCCTTTGCTAGAATCAGGATACAGCAGGTTTGCCAACCAGTGGTACTGAGATTTTGTAGAAGACCAAATTGCAAAAAGCCATGTCCTGCAACCTTGGGTCCTCAAGATTTGTTGAAATACAAGTTCCATTAGCCCCAGACAAATACAGAGTGAAGCTCTCCCAGAATAGTTTCTGTAATGGTTTTAAAATAGGAAATGGCAAGCAAGGACCTATTAAAATTTCCCTTTTAAGGGTGGGATGGGAGACAGGGAGAACTATGGATTCATGCGCCCCAAGTAAAATTACTCCTGACTTCAGTCTGTCTCATTGTTGGCTCTCTCTTTGGCTCTTTGCATGTCTCTGCAACACAAAAGGACTGGAATCATATAGTTTTTTAGTTTGGAATAAGAATCTGGTCTTGTTTTTATGTGGGAGACAAGGGCAAGAGCAGCTTTTTCCTTACCATCTACTGCCTTTTTGTAAAGCATCAAAATGATACAGAATCTCTCCTTAACCCTAAGAGCAAGGAAGCAACGACAGAGCGAGCATCAAGTGAATCCCAGCAATATAATATTTCTGAAGCAAGTGTCTTCAACCAAATAGAATCCCTAGAATGTCTCATGTCTCTTTGTATCTGCCTTTGAAATGGTGCTTCGGGTAATAGTGGTTTCGTTCTTGCATACCTACCTACACATATGCACATTAGTCTCTTAATCTTCCTAGGTAAGGCACAGTATTCACTTGAATGAAAGGAAATAATTCAAGCTGGTATTCTAGCAAACTAAAAAATTAATTCAGGAAAGAGCTACTGGCACTTTTACGCAGGAAGGCTCAGCCTGGAATATTTTATATCTGCCTCTCCCTTTGAGGTTTGCTTTGGCCAGGGCTGAGCTGCAAATGCAGCATTTTCTGCTCATAATTTTGCAAGATTCAAAGGAATAGACAAATGGCAATATTTGTGCTTGCATTCAGCAAAAGAGATTGGAGGCCTGCTTCGTTCCTGTTTGCTGTGGGAAATGGAAGCAAAGGGAAAATGCACTTTCTTTTGTTAAAAAAAGAGTATATCCTTTTGCTGAAACAAGCAACTTTATGATACGAATTAAAAGGCTGCTTCTGAAAGCAAAAGGCTTATTTCACCCCCTACATCTGCATGGTTGTGCACACCATGCCAGAATTGTGTTTTCTGCTCATTTGACAAACTGATTCTTACTTCCAGCATCTTAACTTGAGAAAGATGACTGCCTGTAGTATGCCCACAGTACTTATCTTTTTACATTGCAGCTAACATGGAAAGGTTGAAATATGTGTTTGCCTTGTTGTTCCAATATTTGTTTTTGACAAAGGCTGCCTTCTCTCAGTTTAGTGGAATCACTTCACTGTTGCTAGAAATAAAGCCTTGAATAGTCATAATACCCAACTTCAAAGCACATGCTTTGCCACTTAGAACATTTCCCCCTGGGGCTTTTCACTGTCTGCTTACTTTTTGAGTTCATAGTTAGCAGTCCTGCAGTGTCCATAAAGTTTTAATAGTGAAGAGACAGTGTTTTCTGAAGTAGAATAAAAGACATGCTCGACGTATGAACCCCAAAGATTTATTCTGTATGGTAAAGATGTTAACCACTTTTGGAGGTGTGGATCAGCCTCTGCATACTTCTTTTCAGCTGGGAGAAAACATGTCCACATATATATTGGAATTTGACAGGGTTTGAATACCTATATATAAAATTACACTTTTGTATCACTATATTGTTGATACAAATGATCCCATTAGAACCAGTTTGGAAAAAATTACCAGAACTTGCAGTGGGGTTTGAAGAGAGTCAGTAGTGAGGTGATTTGAGCATTGATCTACAACTCTAGAGACCACTCAGTTGTGAAAGCTTATTTCAGTGGATTTGAGTAGGCCACACTCTCTTAGCCTCAGTGGAAGGTGAAGACGAACCACTCTTTAGATAAATCATGCCAAGAAAACTCATGATAGGTTCTCCTTAGGATCACCATGAGTTGCACATGTCTTAAAGGCACCCATGATAACAACTTTAGATGACACTTGAAGGAAAGGCAGGAATGGAAGATCATGGAGACATGAAACAGGCAACCTGTTCAGTGAGTGGGAATTTTGAACTTACACGAGTCTTTAATACTCCTTTCTTCATGGTGAACGCTCTTGTCTTAAATGGGTGTGATATATGTAGGGATGTTTGTGTGGTTTATCTTATCCTAACCCTTGAATACACTGATTGTGTCCTCCTTTTGCATTTAAGATGCCCAGAGGTGTGTCGGTCTCATCTCTATAGAAGTTCCCTGTGTCAGACTCCAGACTCTTTACTGTGCCTCTCCATTTGCACTGCTTGAGGAAGGGAAGCCAGCTGTGTTAATGCCTAGACTGCTTGAATAACAGGTAAAAAAAAAACAACCACACCATGGGTTGCTTTCAATATTCTTGTCTGAGAATGCTTAGTCTTCTAATATAAACCAGTTGGTTTGCAGTTTTTCTGGAGCTGTACTGTTTTGCTAGCATGTGACCCAGTGGCCTAGAGATGCAACCACATTGAGCCATAGTTTTACAATGCACATGTACTATCTCGTATACAGGACTGAATGTGTGGTTCTCATTGCAGATAATGGCTTTTGGCCGACATGCCAAAGATAGGGTATCCCTACCCTATTCTCTTTGCAAACATGGGGAACTGGGTACTTGGTTCCAGGATGCAAAGCAGGTATCATGAAAGTGAAGCTGGGCTGCATATCTGTTCAAGTCATGGTTTCCACATTGTATTGCAGTGGACAAAAGCTGACCTTGTGCCTCAATGTACAGCAGTAGTATTGTAGCAATACATTGCTGGTTTGCATTGGATGATGTCTACAGTGCTTCTCGGAATTGTCTGAGGTCTGTAGTGTGTTCCTTAGAAGATTAACATTAAAAGAGTTCCCTGAATGTGGAAGATTTGAGTAAATTAAAGCTCAGGACTTTCTACTCCTCCAGATTTTGATGGATTAGTCCCATTATCCTTCAACAATTAATTAGCTTGATAGAAATTGAAGTCCAACAGCATCTGGGGGAAAGAGAGTTCTCCAACCCACGAATAAGTTTTATGCTAGTAGAATTTGGGTAAAGTACTAGTGATATTGGCCAAATAGGAACCGAAAAGAGATTTTAAAACGTTGTGGTACTTCCAGGGTGAGTCTTTTTATTTCTACATAGATTCCAGAATTTACTTATCATCAAGAAGCAGAGACACCCTAAGCAAGAGGGTACATGGTGCTTTGTGAGAGAAGCTGCAATTCAAGGGGAACGAATAATGCAGCCTTGCAAATTATGTTGGACTGCAGCTCCCAGCACTCCTTTCCATTGGCTACATTTACTAGTGCTTCAGGAATTTGCACTCAACGGACCTTTGTAGGGCCAATGCTTTCTATAGTTATAAACAAATTGTGGTCGGTTCTGTTTGGTACTTGGATGGGAGACCACCAATTGATTCCAGGCGCTATAGTCTATTTCAGGCATCCTCAAACTGCGGCCCTCCAGCTGTTTGGGCCTCCACTCCCAGAAGCCCTAATGAGCTTGTTTAATTGTCAGGAATTCTGGGAGTTGAAAGCTCAAACAGCTGGAGGGCCGCAGTTTGAGGATGCCTGGTCTATTTGAAAGGAAGGAATTGGCAACTCCACATAGATAGGCAATTTGAAGGCACATACATTCACACACCAGAGCAATTAGGAGCCCCCGGTGGCGTAGTGGGTTAAACCCCTGTGCCGGCAGGACTGAAGACCGACAGATCGCAGGTTCGAATCCGGGGAGAGGTGGATGAGCTCCCTCTACCAACTCCAGCTTCTCATGCGGGGACATGAGAGAAGCCTCCCACAAGGATGATAAAAACATCAAATCATCCGGGCGTCCCCTGGGCAACGTCCTTGCAGACGGCCAATTCTCTCACATCAGAAGCGACTTGCAGTTTCTCAAGTTGCTCCTGACACGACAAAAAACAGAGGAATTAAGTGGCAAAACTCTTCTGGGAATTCTTTGATATAAGACAGTGTTTCTCAACCTGTGGGTCCCCAGGTATTTTGGTCTACAGCTCCCAGAAATCACAGACACTGTACCAGCTGTTAGGATTTCTGGTAGTTGAAGGCCAAAACATCTGGGAACCCACAGATTGAGAACCACTGATTTAAGAAAATTCTATGAAATGAGTGGTGACTTGAAGGTACACATACACACAGGAAATCAGACTCAGTACCACTACGAACCCTTCTAGTTTTGTGGTTCATGTTTATTAAATAGCAGTTTTGCCATGATTAAAGACAAGTTGAGTATCCTATTCTTGAATTAAAACTGGCACTCTGCACAACCACTTATATTCCTTTCCCAGGCTCACCTCCTGAGGTCTGAAGCACCTCTCTTGCTGCTTGAACATCTGTTCATGAGAATTGGTCAGTTATTCTTTGCATCCTTAATGGCTAACTGAGAAGTATTTATCAAAGGATATAACAGTAGAGCAAGAGAAAACAAATAAAATGTAGAAAATGTGTAATGTAGCCAAAAGTGTTAAGAGAATTTCCTATTATTGTAGAAACAAGAAATGAATTTTGGGGGGGGGGGGGGGGGGGGGGGGGGAGAGAAGCCTCCATTTTCTATCTACTCTTTGTTGTTTCTGTTGTAATGGACTATGTCATGCCTTGGCTTGACAGCAGTTAACAGCAGCAACAATAAATATTTCAGGAACCACAAGTCCCTTTTGTGGTTATCAACTAGATGAAGTTGCATCATGTAGGGGACACACTTCAGGCAACCTTGGATGATCTGAAAGAGGTGACAAGAATTAAAATTTTCTTATTCTGATTTGTAAGCAGTTGCCCTGACCTGTTTTCTTTAGTCAGAAAAACTGGAACAACCCATTTATCACTTTTTTTTGCTAGAATGTGTTAATGCGAAGGATTGCTCTAATTGAAAAGGAAGGGGCCCCATTAACCAACATTTGATTCTGGTTTCCTCTTTTGAGCAGTAGGGAAGGTGCATGACTGCAGCTGTCTTGTGGTTTCTTAAAGAGACAGACAGCGGGTGACTCATACCGAAGTGGTATGTAGCGCTCTCTGGCCTCCAGAATTCAGTAGAATGTTAGGACTTCAAAGCAAAAGCACTTTGTTAAAAGAACAGCATGTATTTCATAGTTTTGGTCCTTACAGATCATCACAGACTGACGCATGTATTGAAATGGCTTCAGTGGCTGCATTTAAAGGTGGCCTGGACATTTTATGGTTGGACATGTAATTGGAGCAGTGCAACAAGTGACTATGAAACAATGTGATTGACAAACGGAATGGCCCTGGGTTATGTTTTGGTTGGTGTGGTTTTAATTGTTGTTTGTAATAATTAATGTTTAAATTGTTTGATTTTAATTGTAATTGTTTATTTGACACAAGTGTGCATGGCATTAAATTGCTGCCTGTTGTAAGGCCGTCTTGAGGCCCCTCCAGAGTGAGAAAGGCAGATATAAATATGATAAATTAATGAATTGGACATCACTGCTTTATGCAAAAATGAACCAAACTTTTTAAAAGTCATGTTATCCTGAACACATTGTACTTCAGATTCCCTTGAGGGCAAAGTTGGAAACCTCTCAGTAACATCAGAGCAATTGCAGGACTGAAATCTGATAAATACAATGTCTAGACACACTAGAACAGCAAGATGCATCAAGACAAGTGAGAGGAGGATTACAGGAGGAGCTTCAGAGAGCTTTTGGATGGCAACTTCCATTTTTATTGCCATGGAGTTGCCAACCAAAATCCAAAGGCCCTTTCACACCCCACAGCATTATAGCACTCTGATTCTATTTTAAATGTCATGTTTCTGTTTAATGAAATCCTAGGATTTGTAGTTTTATGTAGTGTTTGGAATTTTTTGGCACTCATGCTGATGAGTCCTTTTCACATGTTTAATTTTGCAGTTGGCGGATGTATGCTAGGGCTTGTTAACTTTTGCCTGGTATCAGGACCAGATTGCAAAAATCAATTTTCTTTCTTATCTCAGATGGGAATAGACATGATATTACAGCTGTGCTTGTTGTTCTTCCAACCCATTGCAAAATGCTAGCTCAGCAGGCCCTAGCTTGGCATGAAGAAAAGATTGTATCCCATGGTCCACAAAGCTACATGAACCCCAGGATCCATAAGGATCACATGGAGGCAGGGCAGTCATTCCATTTCATGGGTTGTTCATTCTTCTTGTCTCTGAGTATAGTCTTTAGTTCTGTAGGAAACCTCTGAGAATAGTCTTTCCTTCAGTTTAAAACCTCTCATAATGGAGATCCAGTTGGATGTGTGCCAATCAGTATGAAGAATTGGCCAATTTCTGCTGTGCAAGTGTCATAGATTAGGCTTTACTGACCTTATTTTGGTTTGTGGCTGGAAGGATCAATATTCTACCATTCAAGTCTAGTGTCCTCCTTCCCACAGTGGTTAACTTGATGCCCAAAGGAAGCACCAAAGTATGCTTTGGAATGAGGGCACTGGGTGTCTCCTGATGATCCCTTCCTCCCTAAAACTTCTTCCCTCTGGAAGAGAGCTGGTCAGGCTGCCTCAGAACATGGGCTTCCATATGTCTAATACCTTGATGGGCTTCATCACTCCTCACTTGTGTGAATGATAGCCAAACAATCTTGGACCTGAATAGAACAATTATCTTCAGCTACCCCTTTTATTTCTTTCAGTATGTGCTCTCTCACCTTTAAACACTTCTCTGTGTTGCCATCTGCCAGGCTTGCAACAGACTTTATTGCTCGGAAAGCAAAAGGTTGGGATCTCATCAGGCAGCAATGCTTTCCTCCCCTGGGTCTGAGATTAGTGTTGGATGAAACTGCCATTTCCTCATCTCCTTGAAAGCTTAGGAGTTTGCTGAATTCGTTCTTCTTGGGCAGCCATTGGTTTTAACAATAAGAAAATGTAAATGGGCTCTCTGTCTTTTCCAGTTTCATGGATCTCCACTATATATCAAGGTACTACCATCTGAACACCAACCAGTTTCTTTAGCATGGATTCTATTCCTAATATTTGAAATAGCCATTTGGTATTCTAGCACACCAGTACTAGCTTTAGTGGTCTTTCCCTTTTTTCTGCTTTGAAATAATTGGTAGCAGTACCTAAAAAAAAATCATTCAATCGTTTCCGACTCTTTGTGACCCCATGGACCAGCCCACATCAGGGCTCCCAGTCAGCCATCACCACACCCAGCTCCTTCAAAATCAATCCAGTCACTTCAAGGATGCCATCCATCCATCTTGCCCTTGGTCAGTCCCTCTTCCTTTTTCCTTCCATTTCCCCCAGCATCGTTGTCTTCTCTAAGCTTTCCTTTCTTCTCATGATGTGGCCAAAGTACTTCATCTTTGCCTCCAATATCCTTCCCTCTAATAAGCAGTTGGGCTTTATTTCCTGAAATATGGACTGGTTGGATCTTCTCGCAGTCCAATGTGGAAAATTGCTGTCAAGGAGCAATGTTAAGGTGGTACATGTTACAAAACTTATCTGCCTAGTGACGAAATACAGTTTTATCAGATAAAGTAGTGTCCTGGAAACGGTCTTGTGGCTTGGCACAGTCTAAAAATAGAGACAGATATGTTGGCCCATGCTTCTTGTTTTCATGCTCTCAAAAAGCTCAGGATTTCAATTTTTTTCAGTCAGCAGGCTACCTTGCCACATAGTAAACACTTTTTGAAGCTGAGGGAACTTGTCAGGTGAGTTTCAAAGAAGAAAACTTGATCCCCTCTGGCCAGATGTGAAGAATGGGTAAAGCAACTGTAGGTTTCAAGCAGGGCATCACAGTTTCAAGTGTATCATCAAGACATGTCTTCTGTGCTAAGCAAGGATATGAATATCATTTCTTATTACGAGAGCAGATCCCAATTCAATTTCCACCGACAACGTCAACCTCTGTTGAAAACTGGGTCAGAGTTACTGGTTCTGTGATAAGATGCATATTTCAACAGCAAAAGACTGGATATCTGCATTTAAGGAAATCTGTTTACATTCTAGTGAAAGTTCTGCCACCTCAGCAATTCACTTGCCTCTGTACAAGGTGAATTCTGACATGGTTTATGTACGAATTGTGTGGCCGTAACAGAACATTCACATCAGCCGTATATCATTCAGTAATGACATCCCAGCTAGCTGATTGTGATGCAATTGTCGTGGTCTAAATAATGCTTTATCACTGACTATGGTTGACTCTTCCCTGTCCCACTTACCCAAAATATCTAGCAATAATGATGCAATTATACATGCTGCTTGCGTGCTTATATCTTGTTTCAGGGAAGATTGCCAAACAAAATCAACAACACAGAAATCTGCTTGTGCATGTTTATGGCACAAGCTTGTGCAAGAATATTTCATATCTTTGTATTTATTGTTGTGAAGGCCATAGGCTTGAATGAATGTATTTGCTTTCCAGCTTGGAAAGAGTACAGTCGATCTTGCCGATTGAACCAGAGATAATGAGTGAAGTTAATAACACAAATTTTGACTTTCTGAAATTTATTTCCCCAATCATAGAACAAACTGAATCACCATTTCATTCTTTGACAGTCCACTGCCTGTATATTGAATATTAATTGGAACAGGTTGGTGCAAATTAAACAGAACCAAGTGGCATTAGATGCCTCATACTGGCTGAGACTCCTCTTGTTGTTATGTGCCTTCAAGTAACTTCTGATTAATCCAACCCTAACATGAAGCTATCATTTTCTGGGGTTGAGAGTGTGTTACTCATCTAGGATTTCCCAAAGGGTTTCCATAGCTTAGCGGGGAATCTAATCCTGGTCCCCAGCGTCATAGTCCAACCTCAAACCAATACACCATTATGGCTTACCTGAACAGTCTTAGTATATCTTAAATTTAAAGTTGTATAGTTTATTTAACGATTCTATTCAGATTTTTCTCAATCATATGAACTGAAAAGCTGAATTTCCATTCTCAGACATTTACTAGGAAACTATTCCTAATCAATAAAATGCAGGTAGGCACACTGCACTGCTTTGTGTCTGCTAAAATTAGCAAATGTTGCTCTTTAGACTGACTTTCTACATTTTCAAAACAGAAGCATTAGAACTGTGGGGGGTGCGATTGAGTTTGGTAGTCTCAAGTTATTTGTCAATTGCAAACCCAAGAACAGGTGCTTAGAAAATAGCCCTCCATGCGGAGCTGAACATCCATTATTCCTCAAAATTATCTCTTGCCAGTGGCTGATGGAAGTTTCAGTCTAAATGCATTCTGGAGCATCACACGTTTCTCACTCCTGCCCAAGAGCATCGCCTGAGGGTTCATAACGCCACTTGAGGCTTGCCATCTAAGCAGCTTCTTCTTCTTCTTATGAAACACTAAGTTAAATAAAACCCACTTGACACAGAACTGTAGATTTACTGGTGCTTGACTGCCCCTTGCTGTAGTAAATGTGTAGTGTGAAGAGTCGCTTGTCTCCAGGCGTGTAATGGACACACAGCAATGAACTTCATCCAATTGCAGCTCTCCATAGTCTTATGTTCACTCTGGCGAATGTAGGTCAAATACTGGTGCGATGTATGCACAGAGTCAAGTACCTTGGAAGGCACTGCCTTCTGCACAACTGAATAACAATAAACCATGTGTTAGCAGATATTACCTTTATTGTCAAATACCTTTCATAATATAGAGTGCAGAAATATGGTATTAAGGGACTGCATTGGTCCCCCAGTAGATCTTGAAGGACCATTGTCTTGCAACTATTTTTTTCTCTCCAGATGAACTCTTTGTAGGTCCATTTCCACCATTTTAACATCCTTTTGAGCCAATGGCTAATGTCATAAACAGGCATCAGATTAAAGGGGGTGCTTTTTGAGTTTTAAAAACTGAAATAGTCTCATCTAATCATTCAGAGTCAATTTGTGAAGAAACTTCTCTCTGCAATGTCTTTTATTTATAGCTTTGCTATGTTAGCTTCATTATAGACATTATTATTTGCTTTATAAAACTGAGCATGCTCATACATAAATAACTGGCTATTTTATTCCAAATCCCTGAAAGACTTTACATTACACAAATTTATTTAACGCAAATTTGAAGCATTTAATTGTCTATAGCAGATATTGGCAGGCCTGGGGGCCGGTTGCGGCCCCTTGGGCTCTTTCCTCAGGCCCTCCTCTCTCACCATCTTATCCTTCCTTCCTTCTCTCCCTCCTTCTTCCTCTTTCTCCCTCCCTTCCTTCCTTATCTCCCCTCCCTCCCTCCTTCCTTCCCTTCCACCCTTTCATCCTTCCTTCCCTCCTTCCTTCCTCCTGCCCTTTCTCTCTTTCTCCTTCCTTCCTTCCTTCCTTCCTTCCTTCCTTCCTTCCTTCCTTCCTTCCTTCCTTCCTTCCCTTTTGTCTTTCCTCCCTCCCCCCTTCATTCCCTCCCTTCCTTCCATCCAGCCTTCACTTTCTTCCTTTCTTCTTTCTCTTTTTTCCTTCCTCCTGGGGGATGTTTAGCTGGGAGAAGAAAAGGTAGAAAGGGAACATGAGAACCATGTTTTAAGATTTCAGAGAGTGTCCCATTGAGGAGGAGGAGGAAAACTGACTTTCTGCTGCTCTAGAGACAAGGGCACAAGGGAGCAATGGTTTCAAGTGGCAGGGGAAGAGATTTGACTGAAAAGATTAGGACGGACTTCCTGAGAGTAAGAGCTGTTGGAGAGTGATATAGGCTACCTGGGAGTGTGGTGGAGTCTCCTTCTCTGGAGGTTTTTCCACAGAGGCTGTCTACCGGGAGTGCTTTGGTTGTGCTTTCTTGTATGGCAGGGGGTTGGACTGGGTGGCCCTTGGGGGTCTCTTCCAGTTCTAGGATTCTATATCAGAATTCTATATCATTCTATATCTAATCGTCTTCTCTCCCGTGCACCATCTCATGTTGACGAAGGCTAATCCCTTTGGGATCTAAAAGTTTCCTGTCTTTCCTTCACTTTCTGCCTCCGAAAGAGAAGAGGAAGGAAAGGAAAGAACAGGGAGGGGACTTGGGGAGAAACTCCTCCATCCTGACCCACACACCCTGTTCTGGCTTGCCATGCGGCCCCCAAGTGAGAAAGTTTGCCCATATGTCTTTGGTCAGTTGACAGCCTTCCATAAAACAGATGGGTATGTTCTACAGTGGGAGTCTAGACAAGTGTGAAGGGGGCCTTATTTAAATCAGTGGAAGAAGACAGGGAAAGTAGAGAACCTCCAACAAGTGCCTTGGTGGTCTGTGACTTTCTTCTTCTCTTTGTTTGTAGATTTATCAGCCACTCGATGGGGATTACCAGTGGAGCAGCTGTTTGTGTCACCATTCCACCTTTGTGTAGCAAGCAAAACAACTTCAGCACCTCTTCGATAATAATTATGAAACTGGTATTAACTGAATGGCAATTATGGATTTTTAACTCTAATTCACAGTAAACGAAAGCAAGCCATATGTCGAATTGAATTTCCTACCAAATAGCTTTTTGTTCCTCTGAATGTTTCAACGCCTGCTGCATAAGAAATTGATGACGAAACCCGTTGGGAAGGAGGGGAATTACAAATATTGCTTGCATGAGAAACACGACGCCATCAGAAAGAGAAGACATGGTAACTTATCGTTAGAGATGATAGTGTTATTTATATAGGTATAAATAAATAAATATATAAATATATATATTATATATATTTTTATGGTAATGAAAATGGCTCCCCAGAATGCTGACTCGGAATCTATGCAAGTTCAAGAGCTCCCTGTGGTACAGCTCCAGAAACCGGAGAATGAGAATGAGAGTAAAGAAGAGACTATTAGCGAAGGATCCATAGACCGGATACCTGTTCGTCTCTGGGTGATGCATGGTGCCGTCATGTTTGGCCGGGAATTTTGTTACGCTATGGAGACAGCTTTGGTTACACCAGTATTGTTACAAATTGGTAAGTAAAATCATTATTGGTCCTTTGATGTCAGTGGTTACCCTTCTTTGCTTTCAGATCAGATGTGTTCTCAAGTTTTGACTTCATGAGCAATAATCCCATCTCATACGAGCCACTACAATTCAGTTGTATGCGACTACCACAGAGAAGCATCTGTTACCAGGAAACCATATGATTGATGCGATAACTTCCCATGCCAGTTTGCTGGATCTTAGGGAGATGTAATGCTGTAATGGGAGGTGGCCACATTCTCCATCCATCAAGCCCAGTTCTTGCTACAATTTCAGAAACTAGATGCATAGGGGCAGCAATCATGATGCCATGTTACGTATGGATTAGTCCTGAGATGAAAGCATGGACTAGAATTTTTTCATTGCAAAAAGAAGCCACTTTGAGTCTCCTTTTGTGGAAAGAAAAAGTAAAGTGTAAATAAGCATAATAATAATAATTCTCCACCTCACCCCATTTTGTCTCTTTAACAAGCCTCCAAGTTCCTTTTCCAAACAGACCCAATACCATCTTGCACATCCTTTTACATGGCAATACCAAACAGAGTGCTTGCTTAATGAAATCCTCCTGTCTTTCATGACATGCAATTCTGAATGAATTAGAACAAAGTGAGAAGGAGGCACATCGAAATCCATCAGCGCTCCAAGTAATTTGTTGTAGATTGGCAAGAAGTTTTTACTCCCATTTTAATAATATTTGCAATAAAGTAACTCACTCTCAGTTTTAACAAAATCTATTGACACAAAGAAAGCTTATTGCAAAAAGTACTGTGAGCTCTAAGCAGCTATTCTGGTGCTCAAGAGAAATGTTTGGGATTTGGGTTATTCAATTTTAAGAGAATGGCTTATGTCATCTGGCTCCAATTGATAGGTCTTTGGACATTAGATATTCGATAGGTCTAATAGCAAGTATTGTATATTCTCATGTATAAGTCTAAATTTGACCCAGGCTTTTGGGGACCTTTTTGATGAAATTTTCTAGACTAATAAATGGGAACATACAACACAGATGTAGAATCTTAGAGTTGGAAGAGATCACAAGGGTCATCCAGGCCCACCCTTTGTTATGCAGGAAAATGGCCATCAAAGCAGTCCTGACAAATGGCCATTCACCTTCTGCTTAGAAACCTCCAGAGAAGGAGACACCATCACATGCTGGAGCTTGACCTCCGACCCCTTCTAAATTAGTCTACTTAGATGTGAACTTCAGAGGTTGGGTAGAAGAGAGAAGATATGTACTACTCCTGAGGGCATTTTATGGGGCTGCCATGAGGATTGATTTATAGGCCTCTGTATGACTGAACTTTATCAGTGTCACAAAATGTTCAGCCATTCCAGCTGACGTTCAGGATCTTTCTAGGTCACTGTAAATCCTAGTTCTTAAGCAAAACATTTCAGCTATTCTTTCAAATGTGGCTGACTCACCATGCCTTTAAATGGCTGAAGAGCTGATTCTCCAAAGCCAAAGTGCTCCTTATTCCAAAGTCCACGTGCCTCACTGAATTTGTGTTATTCCACGGACAGTGCATATCAGTTTCTTTTGGGATGGGCGTGATTTGTGGAGCTGATGAGTAATACTTGGAACTAGATTTTAATTTAGATGTTCTCTTTATATTTTGACGAGCACAAAAGCAAACATAGGATATGCGTCCAAAACTAGGCTATTTTTTTTCTTTTTGAAGGAAAGATCATGTGTTCCTGTAATATGGAGTATGCTACTGAGTTCATATGTACAGGAGATAAAGGGCATCTTGCTGAATTGCCTTGGGCAGATTTGTGTTCTTGCCTAACCTACCTCACACAGTGCTTTGTATGATAATTACCTGTTCAGTTTTGAACCTTCAGGACAAGGTGTGGGCTGTGTAAGCAAATCATCTTGGTGAACATGAGCCAATGATGTTGACACAAGATGGCCGTAATGTTAATCTTTGGAGAAGTGCGTCCTGATTTACTGGGTTGTAACAATCAAAAGGGGTGATCTAAACTGACACTAAGTACGATACACAGATAGTAGTATTGAAAGCTTTATCTCCCAATTAATCTCAGATCAACTGATTGTTGAGGTGAAGTGACAGTTGCTTTTGCACTATAATTTAAAGCCATCTAACAATATGGAGGTAAAGAGGTATAGCTTGCAAAATGTTGTGCTCATAGATAAGGAGCTTAGGTTTTGAAATACGGAAAGATGTTTCTTTTTGTAGTAATTCTGCCCACAGATCTGTCATAGTTTTCTTTGGGCCTGTGGGTTTAATCCAGACCAAGTCTGTCTTTAAAATTAAAAAAAAACCCAAAACTGTTGTATTGCCTTTCTCTGAACCGAAAGTAGAGAGGGCCTCTCTGTTCCTGGCAACTTAGACAGCCTTATACAGTGGGGCAGGGCTCTGTTGAATCAAATGGGAATTGAACTGCAAATCATCTCATTCATCATACCATTCCTATACGCCAGTGGTTCCCAGCCTGTGGTCCGTGGACCATCAGTGGTCCGCAAGAACTCAAATATGGTCCAAACATTGCAACGAGAGCAACTGGTCTCGCAAAAACTTCTTATAGTGCTGAGGCTTATTAAATATGGTTTTTTGTGGGCAAGCAGATGGCGACTACTGGATGGCATATGTTCTGTATCAGAAACTAGAGGTGATGCGGTCTATCCAATGCAATTTTCTGAATCAGCACCCCAAATAACCAAACTGAATCTAAAATTGACCAAAAACTGATTCGTAACCCTTTTGGTACTAATGCTGGAGAGTGATCCCTGGTCAAAGTGGTCCCCGTTCAAGTGGTCCCTGGTCAAAAAAAGGTTGGGAACCACTGCTATACAAAGTGCTGGCCAGTATTCTCAAACAGAGCTTTGGCTTATAAATGACAACAACCAAAACCATGAATGCAGTGCCTATGATACTCTGCAATGACCATACTGGTCTCCCCAAAACAAACTTTAAAAAGCCCCCAAAATATGACCTAAAAGATCAAGATGCGACAGAGAATTTCACCTGTTTAGACACCATCATCCTACTATCCCAGGACCAGTTGGTAAAGAGACTTTCCTCCACGTTAATAACAATCCCTTCTCCTGTATCTATGAACTGAGGCCTTGATGATACAAATAAAGAAGGAATATCACACACAGAAGGGCTCTCTGACGTATATAGATACCAAACTGTGATGTCTGTGATATTTTTAGATACTGAAGTGTTCAAGATCTAATTGCATATTAATCCCACTCTGCCCTTGAGGAAGGCATGAAATAATATGTAGGTATTGGAGAAATTGAGGCTGCCTCTTTCTCTCCATGACACCAGACGTGAACGTTCTTTCCAGCAATGTAGTTTGCCTAATCATCCCAATTTTGTAGATTCAAACTTTGTACATTAAAGGTAAATCTCATTTAAACCTGTATGCTAACCTCTAGGCATTTGAATGGTGTTAGTAAGCAAGAAAGCCCTGAAGTCTTTTGGTGGGCATATTGTATTATGGAGGTGTTGTCTCAATAATTCATAGATTCTGATGCAGTTGAGACTTTCATTAGGATTTAGACAGCACTGTTTTCCCATGTTAAAGTTGTATGTCTCCTGGACACCAATAGGTTAAAGAAGGTAACTTCCAGTGACATTCCATTGCAGAATTTGTCATGTTTCTTAGCATGTTTTCTTTAAAAAATCTTAGTTTGTTTGGTGACTTCAGAATTCACATGCAACAGCTTGGGCACTTGTTGCATGAAAAACAACCTCTGACCTTCCTCTGAACTCTATACTTAGAGTCTTTCCCAACAAACCCTCCATTGTGTCTTCTCATCTGCATGTGTTCTTACTCTGAACTGAATGCTGTATTACCCTTCTAATAGTGCTTTCTCCAGATTAGTAGCAGGCGACGTGTAACCGTATCCAGGCTTTAGTAGCATAGCAACAAGAGAAAGTAAGCCTTTTTTTATCAGCAGGTTTCTCTTGCATGACTTGATTTAATGCTCTGTCCACCCACCCACCCCCATCCAACAATTTAAGATGTAGGACAGGGTTGTGTAAACTTCAAACATTCAGGATCATCTCTAAGCTTCAACAGCTAGAGCTAGATGCAAAAAGACACAGGCGTAGAATGAGATTTATGAGTCCGAAAACTTGTTTGTGAACTGAAACTGAACAGAGGCCTGCTCTTTATACACACATATATGCAGGCACACCTGCTGGTTATTTCCCAATCTTGCTTTATAACAGAATTGCAGTGTTGCTGTGTGTCTTCCAAATAATTTCCCCCCATCATGGGGTTCTTTTGGCAAGATTTGTTCAGAGGACAGTTGCCATTGCCTTCTCTTGAATCTGAAAGAGCACGTTTTCATAGCCAGCAGAAATTTGAACCCAATTCTCCCACAATCCTATTCCTACACTCAAAACAACTACACCATGTCAGAATCACAGCTCTTGAGTCACAGCATCCAACAATTGAAGAGACCGGGTTGTAGTAGGTTTTTTTCGGGCTATATGGCCATGTTCTAGAGGCATTCTCTCCTGACGTTTCGCCTGCATCTATGGCAAGCATCCTCAGAGGTAGCGAGGAGACCCTTTTCCTTGCTATAGATCGCCCCTCATTCTGTGCTGATGAACCTCTTCTCCATCTCTGAAATAATTTAGAATAGGGGAGCAAATCATTCTTTTGCTGTCATTTTTAAAGAGTGGGAAAGAGATGTTTCAACCAGAGATCTATCAGATTTGAATCAACTTTTCTGCCCATCAAATATAGGTTGACTGAATATGAGTTAATTAACACATAGCAAATTGAGAGGCATTTGTTCTCAAATACACTAGATTTCCTGAGGATGTATAGTTCCTGAAAGAGAGTTAGAAAAACCTTTCAGGGCCATTTCATCCTGCCAAAAGAAGGACCCACCACTACATTACCCCTTCAGTCATCTGTACTGTTTATCACCTTCCAAGGTAGTGTGGTCTACTGTTGAACAGCTTTTACCACTAGGAAGTTCATTGCAATGTTCAATTGGTTTCT